CATTCCTGCCGTTCAGGAAACCTGTCAGGTTGATCTGCATTTTTCGGGGATCGGGAAACTGTAAAATATATAGCGTACAAATTTAATTCTCTATATGCAAGAGCAACAAAAAATAGTGCGTCTAAACAAAATTTAATGATAAAAAAGATACTGCATTAAATTTTGATTAAGGTTTGACAAAAAATACTTGTATTCCTATTCTGTTATCTGAACTGCTTTTCCCCCTCGAAAAAGCAGATATTTATTATATCTAAGTGTGCCTTACCACCTTATTAGTGCTGCTGATCATTGTTTTGTACCTGTATTAAAAAAGTTACATGCTGGAGGAGAAAAAAGAATTATGATGGATTAAATAGCGCAAGTAGCACAAAATAGATCAATACCTCATCACTCTTCATTAATCTTAATATTTACACCATTATGGTGCGTATGTGTGTATGTGCTGAAACGAGAGAAAAGCATATATCTCGAATATCCGGCGAAAATTATCCGCCTGAAAATTGTAGAGATAATGTCGTATAAAAGGATCACCTTTTCACCAACCTGTGACAGTGACAAAGAGTCAAACGTCATGTGTAGGGATACCACCGGGCGCTGTTTTCGCCTGAATCATGCCGATACGTGACCGACAGTATGTCCGGAAGAATATCGGAGTCCTTTGCGAACCGCGATCCGGTGTTAAGTAAGCAGTGGCGCTCGATTTCACCTTTTCGGACTTTGACATCGGTGATTCCAACGGAGAAACCGTAGCTCGCGGCACGAGATGAAGCTTCCAAAAGTCCCAAAATGACATGCCACCAGGAGAGGGATGACGCCATCGGGAAACTGAAGATCCTTGGGCAATCCTCGAAAGCTGCAAGGCTTTCGAAATCCCGTAGCTCACGACGACAAACTACCTCGGTCGAGGTAGCTGGACGAACGGAAGCGACGTCCTTTGCAGTAGGCAGTGATGGTCGATACTGCACGGCAAGACATCGCGCGCAGCTCCAGGAAGGGACGCGAGAAGCAGGAATCAGGAACGCGATGTGACGAAAGGATCATCGTTGGTGATCCGGCGATGTGGATGACGTTGACTCTGTAGTAGTTGCAGCGATGACGTAGCTGCTGAAGTTGAAGATTTGCGGCGGTTCTAAGGTGACGTTGAGATACCAACTGCCACCACAGCTGACATTAGGGCTGACGGCTGATAGAAAGGCAGCCAATCGGATGTAGAGAGGAGCACATCCGAATGCCATTTGGACAAAAGGGTTGAGCCCCACCAACGGTCTCTACTTATACTAACGGGGAATTCAAACATATATGATAAAGATTGACTTTATATAGTTTGATATTGCAGGATCAGCTACAGATCAATTTTTCTGTATTTTTTATTTTTATTTTTTTTTTTCTTTTTCTTTTGTCGAAAGTGGATATGCTTGGAAGGGGATATATGGGCTGATTAAAAACGTGGGATACTGAAGGACGATGAAACTTATAGAAGTCAAATAAAAAAAAGAAAGAAAAAAAAAGAAAAAACAATGTGGCAAGTAAAATAGAAGATAACATCTGCCTCATTGCTTTGTGTTATCCAAACTCAGCATGTCATGCGAAGTTTGGATAATGAATGCTTGCAATTTGTACGAAAACATCGTGCTGAAATAATGTATATTTAACGTTTCCTATAATGATGAGGGGAAAAAGCCAAGTGAACGCATTATACTGACATTATTGCTTTTTCACAAGCTAGTTGCACTAAAAATCTATTCCTAATTAAATTTGGCTTGATTAAATGCAATGTATCTCTTACCTTCTCCTCAAGCTGATTATACACAAACTCTACCACAACATCGTCTTCCATTCCCAGAATCTGCGTAATCTTTGTTGTGATCCATGGTTTGATAACATCAAGTTTTACTTTGCTCATATCCACCTATGACAAATACATTAAAGCTTTATAGTATCTCATAATTTTAAATCAGTAACATTTATAGATTATCTATATTATAGTAAATGCACAACAGATATAAACATGTTCAGAGAGTATAACATTTCTTTTAATAATATAAAAAATATTAATTACTTTCTGTGTTAATGAATCTCCAAATTTCATTTGCTTAAGAAGCTTCTTCTCCTTGTCGCTGAACCTGGTGTCCTGCGAAGCAGTTGTCCCCTGAAACAAAAACATAGACAAGAGAATGAGATAAGAATCACATATAAGAAAAGATTCCAATTTAAATTAAAAATTGCAAATTATCAACGTCTAAAAATATTCTTGGCTTGAATTCAGTTGATTACTCCTTAGCAAAAATATAGATGATCATGATTTGACTTCTGGCAAGTTTCCAATTTTCCCATCTAATGTTCAAATTAATAATCTGTTGAAGTAATGTTTCTTTTTTCAAAGTTAAATGAAAAAAATAATGTTTCATCATTCATTTACACATTTAAGCTACTTTACGAAAAGTCTATTTTTAGTCATTAAAATGAAAATTGTTAATGACGAATTGAAATCATTGAAGAGAAAGGTAAATTTCAAATTCATCGAAAATTATGTAAGAAAATAATGTGAGATACTAATGCTGTTTCCCTTACTGTGTACATCATCTTGGCAACGTGCAGCACGAACCCGGAACTCCGCGAAGAGATGGGTTGTACCTAGTCGGTGAAATGCCAATCGAAAGCTTTCTCTCTGCGAAGAGAAATTAAATTGAAATGGTCAAAAACACTAATTGTCTCCAGTGATCGGCACAAACGTTCGATGAACGCATTTCTTTACGAGTACGATACCTGAAAACCATACACGGACGCGGAAACAATCGGAAACGATGCAGTCCACACTAATATGGCGGCCGTGCCGTTAGATCACACAAGAGAAGTTGCGCGCGCAACGGCCATGATGCACGAATACCTATAAGGTGTGTTCCGATAAATATATCTAAACCAGAAACAAAAAAATTTATAGAGATGCTGGATATTACGAAATAAAACTCAAAAATTTAAAAGAATATTACTTTCAAGGATTAGGAAAAATGAAACGGTATGAAAATTTTTAAGATGGGATATTTCAAAAGTATATTTATTAAAGAGATACAATTTACATCGCATGTATTTGGGAATATACAATTCATAAAACAGAGCTACACATTTTTGTTAATCTTTATTTCATCATTATCACAGTTAAACTTGAAATAAAACAGATCATCGTTTACCATACATATTAAAAAAAAAAAAGAAAAAAAAAGAAGAAAAATGCACAAACATAATTTAGACCTTAATAATGTTGCCAAATTGTTCTGCTAACAAAATAGCAACTTTATATAGCTGGAGGAAAGGGATTCTTGCAACTTACTATCGAGGATTATAAGTTTTTGTAATATCAATACAATATAAGTACGATAGACTACGTGTAATATTTGGTTCAAAGAAAATATTGTAGCATAGCATTTTATCGCACCCATCTATATAGATCATAATTATTCGAGGACTCTGATATGGCAGAGATCAATATAAAGATCATATATATTATAACACGAAATAGGCTATTTCCTATATATGGCTAAGATCTCTGGAAACCTAACCACCAACCAAAAGGCATACTGCATCATTCTTCATTGTTTTTCCCGTTATTAGATTTCTTTTACAGCTTGTAATTGTCATCCATACATAATTAATGCGATTTACGCAACTTCACCACTTTTTCGGTAATCTTCACATTGCTTTGTAACCTAATTTAAAATGAGCGATAATGAAAATAACAGTCTTGTTATTAATTTTTAGTTGAGTCTCATACATTTATGTACTTACATTGCAAAGTCTAGCTACTTCCTCATTTCCACACACAAACGATTTGCCCCAAGTGCATTTTTTAATTTCATTAATCGATCGCAACACACGTGAATTCTTAAATGACATGGCAAAATAATCATTGGAAGAGCACAAAGCCATTTTGCTGCACATCTTTTCGCTATTTATGTGCTTTCTTAGCATGTTTATTATACTCGGCCCATAAATTTCTATCACCGCATTGCACTGCATAGATTTGAATTTTATTTTCATTACATTTCATATAATTTAGCTTTATGTAATTGACTTCTTGAAAAAAATCGTTAAATACCTTATCTCGTTTATTCGCAGGTAGATATTTGCACACTTTTTCGACAACTTCTTCAATTTCAGCATCAACCTTTGGATTACCCAACAACTTGTCAATTTGTGATATAATTGCTCGACATAAGGCACATTCTGCTACAGATTCTGTAGAAACAAATTGCGCCAAAATATATATTTTCACATACATCATTATACAATTTATATTTTCTCTGGAATTATCATACCTTGAATTTGCATCATGCTGATTTGGCAAAGGCCGAGTAAGGTGCATGCCTCTTTGGGACTAACATCCTCTGCTAGAATACTTATTAGAGCATCAGCATATTCATCCACAAACTGATTACAGTCCTTGGCAACTGTTTTCGGTAAATGATTACATACACTATGTACTGCTTTTTCAATTTCATCTCGCGTCTTATTTTTACGAATCACTTTATCAATATATTGCATTGCAAATTCACAAATTGTGCACACTCCGTCGTCTAAAGTATTCTCTGACTGAACTGTAGGTAATGGATAATTGGGTATCTCGTTGGTTACTGAAATGTTCAAAGAACGAGATAAAGTAATTTCCCAGAGATATTTGTATTAATTAACCATAAATGACAAGTTTCTTTACTCATCATTTATGTAAATGATTATGGAAATTCATTTAAATTCTACCAAAAAAACTTACGTATTTCCCTGTCCTTTTGAATATTATAATTATGTTTTGGACCAACATCTTTGGTCTGGTCACACAATTTAAGGTAAACACATACTTCTGAGGGTGTCAAATCTGCGAGCAACATTTCTACAAGCTCTTTGCTGTATGCCTTAACAAAATCTGTGCATTGGTCGGTCAAGCTACGTGGCAAGTGATTACATAATTTATCTAATTCAGCTTCAATGTTAGCCTGCAATATAAGTTATATGGAATGAATAGATTGCATATTAAAAATCATAATTATTACAAACATGATAAGTGACAAATTAGTACCTCAGTTTTGTTGTCTTTGACAACATTATAAATTTGCGTCACTGCAAGCAGACAGAGTGGACAACCTGGTTTATCTTGTACCTCTTGAATGATGAAACTTTTAGGAATTTGTTCCAGTTTATCAAGGAATGCCTCCGATGGACAAATATGTATCATAGGACACACCTTAAATGATTGAATGTTAAATTATATCTTGCAGATCTTATGCTCTAAAATATAAGAGTAGACTTACCTGTGATGGATCAATTTCCTGGGCAAGTATGGCCACAATTGCATCTCCATAAATATCTACAAATTCTTGGCATTTACCTTCAATAGAAGGTAATTGTTTACATATTGTCCCAAGGACTTGCTTCACTTTCTCCTTAAATTTTTAATATGTTTATTATTTTTATATAAATTTACATGTGTCATATTGTCAATCTATAAAAATTAATATTTTAATATTTGTTACCTCATTTGCAGGATCTGTAACAGTATCTTGTATATAATGTAACAAATATTCACACAGTGCACATGCTTCCTTTCCATTAACACTTTCGGCTTGCAGCAAAGAAAAAGGAATTAATCTTTCAATTGGCAATTGCATTTCTTTAGCTTCTGATTTTTGATGATCCTTGCCAATAGCCACTTCAATTTCTTTCTGATCTTGTTTATTATTCATTATGTTCATCCCTACTTTCACTAGTTTTTCTGGGACTAAAGGCCAAATTGGTCCCTGTTAATGCAAAATACAAAATAAAATGTAGCTAGTTCTACTTTATTTTAAAAAATATATTACTTATAAAATGTAATAATATATTTATATATTATTACTTACTTGTATTGTTTTGCCAGGACCAGGACAAATACCAGATAATTGACAGACAACATTGCTGTTCAGTCCTTTTGTGAGATATTCATAAATCTGCTGATAATATTGATCAACAATGGCTTTGCACTAGAAAAAATTATTATATGTTATAAAATGTTTTTATATGTACACATACATGTAAAATATGTGTCTGTTTATTTAAACTACAAACCTCATCAGCAAAAGATTTAGTTTGCTTACAAAGGCCCAAAAGAACTTGTTTAAATTCTATCTCCGTAGTGTTTGCAACTAAAAGATCTTTCAAATGACCCACAAGTTGCTCACATAGCTTGCATGGAAGATCATCTCCGACTTCTACTATGCCAACACTTGACAGTGGTGTTATCTCTACTTTTGGAACCTGATCGTTGTGGGATATATTTTAATATACAATTCTTAAGTTATTCAAAATATGATTAACATACTTACTGCATCAATAGTGTCTTCGTGTTTATGGAAATTGTTACTGCATTGTCCTGATAAGTGACATATGTTTTCCGCATTGAAATTATTTTGTAGATGATCGTAAATGGCATTAAAATGATTTATGATAATGCCTGAACAAGAATCCGAAAAAGAATCAAATTTGCCGCAAATATTCAAAAATTGCAGAAGCATCGCATCACGCGATGTATGATGTAATTTATTTTCCATATAATTTGCTATTGTGTAGCATTTAGTGCATTCATCAGGCTCGAGTTCGTCATTGTACAATAAAACTGACTTTGTTTCCTTGTTGTCCTTCTAAAAATACACTTTTTCAATCATTTTTTTGCCAATTATGTTGATGCATAACTAACATAATAGCACACTATTTAATAATAAAACGTCTTTATTGGCTATTATTTACCAAATATGCACACAGATAAAATTTAATACATTATTTATAAACTTTATTATTAGAAAATTAATTAAGCAAAATAATGATTATGTAGAAATATTATTAAATGTTATTTATCACAGAATAAGTTTCATAGTCATCTAATCTTGAAAAAATACTTATAAGAAGATGATAAACACAAGACATATACATGTCAATAGGTCATTTGACGATTGACAATTGATATAATTGATTTATTTTGAAGGATTGACTAATCTTTGCTCAATAGAGGCAGAAACACAAATTTAAATAATACACAGAATTGAAATTATGCGATTAATTCTTACCTTTGTTGATATTTGATGCTGTGAAAGCAATTCGTCAATGTGAACATTATTGCAAAGTCCTGCAACAGAGCAAACCACAGATGGATTCATTTGGGATGCTAATGTTTCCACAAGTTCAGGGATAAATTCATCCACAATGTTGATGCATTCCTCGACAATTGGTTTAATATGAATTAATTTGCAACTGCCTTCAAAAACATCTTTCAAATCCTGTTGAGTCTGATTACTCTCCAATTGATCCCGTGCCTGTTGCACCATATCTTTGCAAATTCCACATACATTGTCTTTATCATCTGGAACTTCCATTTGTTCCCAATATCGATGAATGCAATGTTTAACAGCACTGCATCCTTTAGCTGTCCTGTTATTAGGATATTAATCAACATTATATTTTGTCTATCTATTATAAATATGCAACAATACAATATATATTTTAAAAATGCTTTATAGATCAATTTTCTCACTATCTATTTACATAAAATTTATATTAGATTATATTAAATTATAAACAATCACTAAAACTTACTTTAGATTCTCACACCAATAACTTGGACCCCATGAACATTCGTCTGCACCCAAAAGCTGGGGATCATCATTTCTTGGTTCAGTAATGACAACTGCAGCTGTGGATACTGGAAATGAAAAAAAAAATGTATTTGTATAATTTTCTGTAATTTTATTCCTAATTTATATGATATTGAATTTTTGTATTAAGTTGAATCACTGAAGTCGAGTTATGCCAGATTCAAGAAATAGAACACGCATGATAGCATAATATCATTAGCTTCTTGTAACAATGAGTAATCTGTACGAGGAAGCACTTAGTGTTCCTTCTTAAAGCGGTTTCTGATTTCTGTTACAGTGATTGTATTCATAGAAATCGTAAGCGTATTTTAAGACAAGAAATTTTAAAACAGAATCATTTTACATGAAACAAAAACATTATTATCAATTGATAGATATACAAAGTAACATTATCAATATTATTATCGCGACGCGTATTTCCGACACAGTAGCGTATTCATAATCTAAATTGACAAACTACAAGTTTAAATCGACTGAGTCATTTTATTCATCCTAGGAAACAGTGCCTTTGCAATGAGTAACGTGAAACGCAATTAACCGGCGACGCAAAAAGGACAGAACATTACGAGAGTGAGACGAAAAGAGCGAACAAAAGAGAAAAAATAGCAGCCTATATCGAAGGGAAAAAAAATAATAACAAAACGCGATATATATATGTATAAGCGTTAAATAAAATTAAACGACCCTCAGATAGCTAAAGGCAAATATCGCAATGTTTACAAAATCAAAGTACAAATATAGAAATACTTGCGCGAGAGTGAGCGCTGGCAAATGAAAAACATTCCAGAAGGAAGTGCGCACATCGGAAAAATACCGGAATAAGGGCAACACGAGGCATCTTTTCGCCGAGAAAAATGCTGCCGCGGTTTCTCGGATGAAGAAAAGGCGGAATGAGAGATATCGGTGTTGCTTTAAGCAAAACTCACCAGCTAGAATCGCGCTGAACGCGATCAGGAACTCCTTCATGCTTCCAAGACAACTCGACTCGCGACTGCCAGTCGGAAGTCGTCAACACGCAATGACACGACGAGACGCGACGATGCGCAATTGAATTTTATGCGAATTTATGGGCCACGGACGATCAATACACGTAAAAATAATCTCATCCACAGAAAAATGGATCGCGCTACTCGATCTAAATCGCTCCGATCGGTACAGATGTTGAACGGTAAGTGATGATGAATCGCACGCAATCGCACGCTTCCTCGAGAATTAGAACGCACTCTCTTCGGTGAGGCTCGGCGATACTCGGCAACGTTCGGCAATGTATCACGAGATACGCATATATATACACGTACGCACACGCTACCGATCTATCGTGAAGCCAATAACAATGATGCGTTTTGTTCTCGGATACGTACAGAATATTTTTGTCACAAGACTATCTCACATACTTAGATGACTAGACACAAATGTAAGAGCGTAATAATTTGGAAAATAATAATTTCGGTAAGCTACATTTTTTTCTGCTGCAGAGAAATATAACCACATCATTGCGTTTCTATTGTCACGAATAAATATTACTTTTGTATATTTGTAATATATATATATGAAGGGGAGAGGAGGATCTAAATTTATGAGAGTTATGCCTGTCTATATATATATAAGATTTTTTCATTAATTGTCATTTTTCTATACAGGGTGTCCCAAAGCACCCTTGACAACGCTCGTGAGCAGGTAGAGCACAGTAAACTGAACAGAAAAGTCCTGTAACATTTTTTTTTATAACGCTTAATAAAGGAGTTATTATTGAATAAAGTCTGGTCAATCAGCGCCGACTTTTAGCCGGACGCACGTCAGTGAGCCGCCCGTCTGTTAGTGTGCGTCGCCGTAGCGACGGAGCACTCACGCACACTATCAGGCGCGCGGCTAAAGGTCGACGCTAATTGGCCAGACGTTATTCAATAATAACTCCTTTATTAAGCGTTATAAAAAAAATGGTACAGGACTTTTCTGTTCAGTTTACTGTGCTCTACCTGCTCACGAGCGTTGTCAAGAGTGCTTTGGGACACCCTGTATATATGTATATATAAAGAAGTTCGGCCGAATACCGAATAGTTTTAAATGTAAAACTGGAAGAAAATAATAGCTAATAGATTGTTGCCATCTCAGCCGCAGATGCGCTGAGTTTTAACATGCTCGAGAATCTAATTTATTTATTTATATATCTAATAATATAAAATTTAATAAAACACATTTATTGTTACACAATATATTTATGCGGGGTGGCACGGTCGGGGGTGCACCCTGTATAC